TCCTCCTCCTCCTCCTCCTCCTCCTCCTCCTCCTCCGAAACCATACACTCTAAGTCTATCTCCTCCTCTAGAAGCCTTGCAACTGGCGGCCGGACAGTCACCGGCCCGCGGCGCACGCGGGCATAGGAGCTCGGCGGCGACCACGGAAGCCCGCGGGTTCGGGGCGGCCGCCCTCAAGGGAGGCCCCATCGCGGCCGCCTGCTCTTGCCAGCGAGGGCATTTTTTCGGGCCTCCTCCAGCACTTCCTGCTGCACCTGTCAAGGGGCCCTGGGTCACACAAAAATACCTGACCCAGACCCCCTCGGGTCGCAACAAAAATCGCGACGGAAGGCTCTTCGCGATTTTTGGCCTCCAGGGGTCCTTCCCGGCCCTCGGGACCGTCAAAGAACGATTCAGGATGAAAAACCGGTCCTGGGGAATGGGTCTGGACCTCTGGGGGTCGCGTGATGAAAAAATCATGACGTTGGGAGTCTGGGAAATTCATACATATCCCAGGATTCCCCCGAGTATTTTCATATGTCTTGGGTGTTCGCCCGCCCCCCCCCCCCACACTTCCCATAATTTCCCCATTGTTCTGGGGGGTCGGCGGTGACTCTTGTCTGTGTGTGCCCTTTTCCCCCTCCTGAACCTGGTGCAGCACCGAAGGAAAGAAGCTGCATCGGATGCCCTTGGACTGCATGTCGGCCAGGAGGGCCAGGGCAACGGCGGTGGCCATGACCAGCCACAGCATGGGGCAGCCGAAGAGCCGGCCCAGGGAGCCGTGGAGCTCCGACGTGGTGACCGAGCCGGTGAGCAGCCCCGAGAAGTAGGCCTGGAGCTGTGGATGCCACGACAATGGGCACTCTAACAATCCGGTTGTTTGATTAAACATGCGTTTAAACTATTTAAGGCAAGTTTTAACATGTGCTTAACATGTGTTTGAAACATTTTGGGAAATCTATAAAATCATTTGGCAACATGCTTCCTCCTCCAGTAATCGTCGTCCACCAGCCTGGAGCAGGAACCACCAGAAGAATGAGAAGGCGATGCCGAGATACGTCAGCCGGTTGACGAAGGACGTCTCCAGGAGGCACTGCAGGTTCACGACGACGACCGCGAGAAGGTACACCATGCTACCGACGAGCCACAAGTCGTTCGCCTTGCCGTCAGAGTGCGTCACGTTTCCGTTCGACATCGTGAAGAAGGGGACCGCAAATATCACCCAAGCATGCCACACTCCGCTGAGCACCCAGCAACCGGACGCACGAAAATTTAGGTACTCCGATCGCCTGCCCAGGGCGTACAGCCCTGGGCGCTCGCGGGCCCACCGCTTGGGTACGTCCTGATCTAGAACTCCAAACAAAACAATTGGCAGCGCGGAGTGAACAACGTTGTAGGTCTGGTACATGAAATCATTGTACAGTTTCTGACCTGAAAACATCGACACGCAGCCGAGGAAATACTGCGGCAAGACAACAACGATGTTTTTGTAAAACGTGTAATTCGCGAGGATGGCCACTCGTCGGTAGCACCAGCGCCCGTGGACCAGGAGGAGATTCTCAAGGAACCTGAACTGGGCGATGCCGAAGTCGCAGACATTGAATGCCTGCAGCCCCTCCAGGCCGCGGATACCGATTCCGACGTCGGCACTCTGTATCATGTTGCAGTCGTTGGCGCCATCGCCGATGGCCAGGGTAATAGCGTTCTCCCGCCGCTTGATGAGGCGCACCACTGCGCCCTTCTGCTTCGGCGACACCCTGCAGCACACCACCGTCAAGCACTTCCGGGCTACGGCGCAGAAGTGAAGCTCGCTCGCGGGCTCCAGCGCTACCTCCAAGCACGTGCCGTCGATGACCATGCCCTCGAAGGTGCCCCCACCACGCGCCTCGCTGGCTAGCTGCTCCAGTCTCTGAGCGAAGGCCGTCTCGTTGAAGCTTCCGCTCCTCTGGAAGTCGGTGCTCGTCAGGACCAGGCGGCTGCCCCGTTCACCCTCGGACGGGTCGAGGAGGCCAGTCGCGATGCCGATGTTGATAGCTGTCTCCACCTTGTCACCAGTCAACATCCACAGCTTGATGCCAGCATCGGCCAGCCTCGCAATGCAGCTCCCCACGCCGTCCTGGATGCGGTCCTCTATGCCAGTGACTCCGTGAAGCTCCAGGTCTGTTTCTATCTCATCGGCGACCTGGTCCAGTAGTTCTTGCCGCTTGGCGGTTGCCAAGGAGGCCTCCTCGTACTTGACAAGCCAGCGCTGCACCTCGTCTGGCTGAAGGTCGCGCCCAGCCAAGCAGAGCGTACGTAGCCCGTCCTCGGCAAACTGGCCGACCACCTCTTCCGTCTGCTGAAGCTCGCTCGGCGAGCATTTCACCCTGGCAAAGATCACTGAGTCAGCACCCTTGGTGTAGATGGCGTGCCTGAGCCTTCCAGCTCGGATGTCACTGCCCTCATTGAACTCCACCACTACAGAGGATCGCTTCCTGGCAGAATTGAACTTGAGGACAGCGAGGAGGCGGACCTTCGTAGACACGCCGTCAATGTCGACCGTCAAGCACTGAGAGTCCCGACCCACGAACGCGTGCCCAAAATGCTGCGCTCCATAGCAGAGCGCGGCTTCGTCCGGGCTGCTAGCCGCGTAGGACGACGCACCGTTGTCGTCGACCTCGACCACCGCCTCGTGGTTGATGGCCAGGTGCAGCAGGAGCTCGCGCACTGCACGGCAGTGTGGATCAGCCCTGTGCTTGAGCAGGTTGTCCAGCCTTCGGTCCTCCAGATCCACGTGCGGTGTCCGCGCGTGCGACCTCTGCGAGGGCAGCTCCACGACCTGGTGCCCCATCTTCTGCATCACGCATTTCTTGATCTCGGTCATGCCATCGCCATAGACGACGCCTTTCACGGCGAACTTGCGGAAGTCCATGACATTACACGTCAGAGTGCCAGTCTTGTCGGAGAAGACGTAGTCTACCTGTCCCAGCTCTTCGTTCAAGTCTGATGTCCTGGGCATGCAATAGATCCCGCCGTGAACCATCTCAACATCATACGCGATGAAAAACACCTGGAACAACTTCACCATGTTCACGGAAACCAGGAGAGATATCGGAATAAAATTTGCGAAGAGCAGCGTGATGTTGAAGTAGCGCACGATGAGCACAAACCAAAACCCAAGTGAATCCCCGTCGAGGTCCGTCAGGTTCAAATACCTCCTGGCCACATTCGACTCCGACGTATCGAACGTCGCACTGAAGAACGCCCCAAAGATAACAAGCACGTTCTGGAAGACAAACATCACGCCCACGAACTTGGCGATGGCCCACTCCAGGTGGGAGATCTTGCGCCCCTTCCTCGACCTGCTGTTCATCATGATCTTCGTCTGCTTGCCCGTGTACACCGGGACGCCGAGGGCCCACCTCACGTTCCTGAGCTTGCACCCGCGCAAGATCACCTTCTCCTCGTCGAGTGCAACCTTCTGAGACTCCTCGCCCGGCCTGCCCACCTGCAGGGTGCCCATGAACGAGTAGAGGAACTCGTTCGGGCCGTCGCACGCGATGCGCGCCTCCAAGGACCGGGCCACCTCCAGGGCGCCCTCCGCGGTCGAATGCCTGCCCACCATGCTGCAGACGGCGGAGGGGGCCTGCTTGGCCTTGAGGTTCGTCTCGCCATCCAGGTTGGCCGTCTCCACGTAGACTACGCCCTGCTCGTCGGAGCTCGCCAGCAGCACCAGGTCTGCGGGGATGTACTCGTTGTTCCTCACCACCACCACGTCTCCCACCCGCACGTCCAGCCACTTCTCTGCGGTTAGGGGCTCGGAGGACCCCGTGACGATAGACACAAGCCGCTCGTTCTCCAGCGCGTCGGACTTGTGACGGCGGTAGTCTTCGATAAGGTCTTTCAGACCATTCAAACAGAAGATGAATAAGAGCGGCATTGATATAGTGGGGATTCCACCGGTTGTCGAAATTCCGTAGGGCATGCACTGCAGGACCATCAGGTACAGGAAGTAAAGATTCGCAGGTTTGGAGAGCTGTTCGATCAAATTCTTCGGGAGGAAATTCGCTACCGTGTAGTGGGAAGTGACGATTTTATTGTCACAAAACGAATGACCGCTTTTGAAAAGATCTACCGTGCGCAGCTCGCCTTGCGTTCGGCTCCGTTTCAATGGCGTTGAAGTTTCATCCATGGGCCTTGGCTCACCCAGAGGCTGGGTCGAACGCAAACGCCTGGCCGTGGCCCTTGAGCCACAAGGCTACGGGAAAGGCAGACTACGTAAAGCCATGCTTCCCCTAACAGCAGGTGACAATCGGTGGTGATGATGAGGCTGCTGCTGCTGCTGCTGCTGCTGCTGCTGCTGCTGATGATGATGATGATGATGATGATGCTGATGATGATGATGATGATGATGATGATGATGATGATGAATGAGCTTTTTCCATGATGATGATGATGATGATGATGCATGATGAGGAGATGATGATGCATATGCCATAATGATGATGCGCGAATTATCCAGCGGCTCCGGTTCGCGGGAGCCATCAGGCGGGTGACCTGCCTGGCATAGCTTCAAACCACATCAGCAAGCCTCGCTCTCACCCGCGTAGTGGGGGGACCCCGCCAGCCTGCAGGATCCCAGGAAGTATAAAATAAACCTGACAGCAACTTGGCAGCCGACACCTTTTGCCTTCGTCGGACTCCTCTGACTGAGCATGACACGATCGGGTGTCGGCTTGGGAGCTCCCCGCCCGCTATGACACCCGTCGGCGGACAGAGATGAAGGGAAATGGGGACACACAAATAAATACACACAAATAACCAGATTCACCATATTTTCCCATATTTCCTGGATTTTTGTCTTCCCCCCCACTTCCCATATTTTCCCATATTTTCTGGGAATCGACGATTAATTGTGTCTGTGTGTTTCTTTCCCTCCAGAAGAGAGAGAAGCCGACGCAGTGGGAAGGAATGGGTGGGAGGGATAGTGAGGATGTCCGATATGGTGCGAGCGCACCCAGATTGCCTCTCTTTACCAGCCTGGAACATATCCCTATCCCTACGCTGGGCACCTCCTCATCACGATGCCAATCTTAGGGATTCCCTTTTTTTTGAGGGCGAATCCCTAAGACTGTCATCGCCTTTTGGCGTGTCAATCTTAGGGATAGGGATACGTTCGAGGCTGGTAATCTCTCCCCTCTCTCCATTCCCTCTCTGTCGGAGGCTGCGGGGCGAGACCGAAGCGACCTGGAGTGCCCCCCCCCCCCGAAGGGAAGACGACACCCGTGCCGCACTAGCCGCCCGGCCGAACCACGGGCGGAGGCGAGCGACCTAGGGCTTCAAGCGCTGATTTTTTTTTGTATCCCGTATTGGGGCTACGCTTTGTCAGCGGGGCCACAAACTGCCAAACTACCCCGACCCCCCCCCCCCGATTTCTGAAGGGGGAGAGGCTGGGAGTTCACCATCGCCCTCGGGAGCATCCCGAAGCCGAAGTGAGCCCCAGGCCCCCCCTGGGCAAATCTGGGGAGTGGGGGGGGGTCGGGGTAGGGTTCGCATGTGGCCCCCTATTTACCGTGTCTTCGCTCTGTCCTCGTGGTCCTGCACTTCCTTCGTCTCCAGCCAGGCCCTGCTGCAGAACGGAGCCGACACGGAGACGGCCGAGGGAAGCGCCAGAGCACCGCTCGGGCCGCGGGGCGCAGACCCTTCCCGAGCGTGCGCGGCACGACCCCCCCGTGCGCGGCACGACCCCCCCCCCCCCTCCCCTCCCGGCGGCCCGAAGGCAGGGGGCGCTCTGCCGGCCCCGCTCCGGACCGCCTCGGCTCCCGGGCGCCTCGGGGCACGTGGGAATACGGACGGGCCCAGGGTTAGGTCGGACATGTCCTTCTACAGGCGGGTGTTGAACGCTTTTTGCATCGCATCTTTATATATATACACACATATATTTATATATATATATATATACAAGTATACATGTGTGTGTAAGAGTGAGGGGGCCGAACGGTCATTGAAGGTCCTTGGGCGCGTGGCTGAATAGGGAATTCGTGGTGAGAATTATGTTTGTTGCGTTGTGGTTGATGATGTTGACTTCTCATTTCTGAAGAATAATTATTGTTGATCCCCCCCCACTGGTGCATACCGTTTCTTCTCCATCAAAGTGTGCCCCTCGACGCTCGCACTCTGTTTTTTTGACAGGGAAAGTCTTCCTGCTCAAACTGGGCCCCTGGCCCCGCGCGCCAAGGAGGGGAGTCCAACGCCGATCCGAGAAATATGCGCGGAGCTCCGAGTTTTTACGTTCATGTCACTGTTTGTGTCCCTGGAACAAGTGAACGCGAGTGACACGCATGCGCACGTCATCGCACGCGCGCCCCTGCCGCGGGGGCGGCGGCGGCGCCGGCGGGGACCGCGCCCGCCTCCTCGCGCGAAGTCTCGGCACGCGGCTGCAACGCCCGCGCTCGCTGCGCAGCTGCGGCGCCCGTCTACCCGAGAGATCCCACTGGTGTTGGCGCGGACGCGCCCGGGATAAATCCGTGATGCTGCCCTGGTCGGCGCCTCCTCGGGAGGGCCGAGCACGAGCTCTGAGGATGGGCACGTCTGCCTTCGAAAACTGCCGCTCTGCCTGGAAAGTCCCACCCTTCCGGGCGCGGGCGCGCGCTTGGTTCTGCCCCGGTCGGCTCCCCCATTGGGAAGCCCGAGCTGGATGCCAGCTACATCGAGGTGCCCATGGGGCCCCAAAAGCGGTCCTGCGGGAGTCCCGCCAGCCTGGGCGCGAACGTGCATGCCACCCTGCCCCTTGGGAGGCCCAAGCGCGATGCCTGCGGCACATCGCGGCAACAGATCTGATGGGGCCATGAAGAGACAGAAGCACTGTCCCACCGGAAAAGTCCCATCAATCTGGGCGCCCACGTGCCCGTGATACCACCCTGGTCGGCTCCCCCTCTGGAGGCCCGAGCGCGATGCCTGCCGCATCGCGAGGGCTGCCCCGAGAGCGGCGGCGCGGCGGCGGACCGGCAGTTCTCGAGGCCCGCGTAGTAGGTGTTCATGGCATCGACGGAGATCGCCTCCAGGGCCCCGTACATCATGGGGAAGTCCTGGGCGCAGAGGCCGCGACAAAGGGAGAGGAGGAGCATCCGAGGCTCGAGCGCCGAGGTTCTTCGAGCCTCTGGGCGGCCTCTGCCCTGCTTGGGCCTCCGGGGGCGCCTCGTCGCCACAGCCCGGCTCGCCTGGAAATGCTGGCCAAAGCGCACCTGCAGGGGCGCAGGCCCCCGCGCCCCTGCAGGTAAGTCCTCCTCCTCCCCTCCGCCTCCTCCTCCTCCTCCTCCTCCTCCTCCTCCTCCTCTCCTCCGTCCTCCTCCTCCTCCTCCTCCTCTTCCTCCTCCCCCTTCCTATTCCTCCCCTCTGCCTCCCTCCTCTTCATCTCCCTACTCATCCTCCTCCTCCTCCTCCTCCTCTCCCTCCTACTCCTCCTCGCTCTCCTCCTCCCCCTCCTCCTCCTCCTCCTCCTACTCCTCCTCCTCCTCTTCTCCTCTCACCTCCTCCTCCTCCTCCTCCTCCTCCTCCCACCTCCTTTCCACCTCCTTCCTCCTCCCTCCCTCCTCCTCCTCCTCCTCCTCCTCCTTCCTCACTCCTTTCCACCTCCTCTCACACTCCCTCCTACCTTTCCTCCTCATCCTTCCTCCTCCACCTCCTCCTCCCTCCTCCTCCTCCCTCCTGCTCCTCATCTCCTCCGCTCCCTCCTCCCCTATCCTTCCCTCCTGCTCCTGCTCCTCCTCATCCTGCTCCTCCTCCCGCCTCCCCTCCTCCGCCTCCTTTCCCCAGCCTCTCCTCACTCCTCCTCCTCTTCCTCCATCCTCCTCTTCATCATCATCATCACCCTCATCCATCATCATCAATCATCATCATCATCATCATCATCATCATCCGTCCGTCCGTCCGTCCGTCCGTCCGTCCGTCCGTCCGTCCGTCCGTCCGTCCGTCCGTCCGTCCGTCCGTCCGTCCGTCCGTCCGTCCATCCATCCATCCATCCATCCATCCATCCATCCATCCATCCATCCCTTTCCCTTATAAGTAGCTTTGCCCTGTTGCACCCCGAGACCGGTCGAAAGGGCGGGCTGGGCGTTTCGCCTGAGACGTTAAACGTTGGCAACAATTTCACAGATGGAGGGCGGATCGTTTTCAGAATGTGGCTCTCGCCTGAGCGCCGCGCACATTCTTTTTTCAACATTTGCAAGAACTTCACGGGTTGAGGACGGGCGGTTTCCAAAATGTGGCTCTCGCCTTAGCGCCGCGCATATCCGTTTCAAAACTTTGCAAGAGTTTCACGGATTGAGGGCGGGTTGTTTTGCAGAATGTGGCTCTCGCATTAGCGCCGCGCTCACTCGCTTCAAACATTCGCAGAAGCTTCACGGAGTGCAGGCGGCTGTGTTTTTAACGTGGCTCTCGCCGTAGTGCCGCGCACATTAGTTGTAAACAGTTGCAAGAATTTCATGGGTTGAGGGCGGGTGGTTTGGAAAATGTGGGTCTCGCAGTAGCGCCGCACATATTCCTTTAAACAAAAGTTCGCAATGAGTTTCCCAGATTCCCACGTCAACGGACCAGAAAGGGCGCTCTGGAAAGATCGTTGGATTAGGAGGGCGCAACAGTTACGTTGATTCGCGGTGTTGAAGTCCCAGGAATGGCGTTCTGGCGCGATTCAAGATCGTCAAGGTGCAACAGTCAGAGAACACAGTCGGCCTTGATTGGACAGGAGACGCGAGAGGACACAAGACCCTTCCGAGAGCCACATCGCCATAGGAGTGTAAGAAGGCACGTGTCGCGAGGCACAGGACACAAGGGTACCCTTGCGCTGGCAGGGTCGGCCTACTAATCCGGGCCTACTGTAATGATTTGGCATACTTCAGGGCCATCAAACGGTTGCCTTCCAACAAGGCAGTTCGCTCAGTGGAAATGAACCCTTGTAGGGGCCCATGAAGGAGGGAGCCTGGAGGGAGGGTTTGTATGCCAGCATCGCTGCTGACTCTGGGGTTTACACTGGACCTCCTCCTTCTCCTCCTCCTCCTCCTCCTCCTTCTCCAGGTCCTCCTCCTCATCCAGGTCCTCCTCCTCCTCTTCCTCCTCCTCCTCCTCCTCCTCCTCTTCCTCCTCCTCCTCGTCCTCCTCCTCCTCCTCCTTTTCCTCCTCCTCCTCCTCCTCCTCCTCCTCCTCCTCCTCCTCCCTCTCCTCCTCCTCCTCCTCCTCCTCCTCCCCCTCCGCCCGTCGTGGGA